CTGACCTCTCTGTGCCTCCGTATCCTCATCTAGTTAGAAGGTGCTGATTGGAGAGTTTATACACAGGGGGTCAGTGGGGCCTGGCTCACCTCAAGAGCATGAACGGCTCTGTCCAGCAGAACTTTCTGCAGCAGGGGGCTGTCCTAGAAGGACGCTGTCCAATATGGTAGCCACCCATATGGCAGACACGGGGCACTTGGACTGCCATGCGGCTGAGAAGTTGAGTCTTTTAATGCATTAATTTGTGTTAACTTACTTTTAAATAGCCACAGATGGCAGATGGATAGTGCACACACAGTGCGTGCTTAGTTAGCCCGTAAGCCTTTAATCTGCTGACAGACACGTTCCAGGAAGGGTGTCCAGCCCTTTGTGCTGCCCGGGGTTGAACTGGCATGCCTGTGACCCAGGGCAGGTACAGAATGTCTGCTCTGGGAGGCCTCTGGATCCCAGAGCGGCTGTTCCTTTCCCTCAGGCCCACGCGGGACAGTGAGGACGAGGAGGAAGAGGAGCGGCGTGGCCGGGGCTGCGCCCTGCAATTCCAGCATGCCACTGTGCGGGTCCTCACCCAGTTTGTGTCCGAGGCGGCCGGCCCCTGGGGCCAGCCAAGCCACCTGCTGGGCCCCGGCTGGCAGTTCGACATCACCCCCCTGGTGGTGGACTTCATAAAGCTGGAGTCACCTCACGTGGCCACGCTGCAGGATGGCAGGATCCTGGTCGGACGGGAGGTCGGGATGACCACCATCCAGGTAGGAAGCGAGGGCTCGGGACGTCAGCCTGCTTCCTGGTAGTGGTGCCCAGGGCTCCCAATGGGCAGGTCATTGTGGACAATTCCCTGGCCCCCGATGGCTCCAGAGGGCCACATGGGGGTGCAGAAAGGGCAGCCCACCCAGCACCTAGGGCTCCAGATCTGCTGGGGCACCCCAAGGCACCCACACTGCTGCTGCCTCCCACCCAGGCTCCCCCAGGGAGCTCCCCTCCAGGTCCCCTTGCCTGCCCCTCTCGGGTGACTTTTGTGTCCTCTGTGCATCTGTGAGTGGCCGGCTGGAGCCGGCAGGTTCCTGTCTCTGTTACTTTTGGACATGGCCACCAGCCCATCATTTGCTCTCCGACTCTTCAGCATCCACACCCCATCTTTTGCTTCAGGAGACATGTGGGGTGTTTTGGGACAGACAATGGGGTGTGGATAATCTTTGTGGATAATCCCTCAAGTCCCTGTTGCCCAACACCTTTCTGGAATGTCGTTCTTGATCTTTAAACCATGTGTGGAAGTGACTGGTACAGTCCGCCATCTCCCCTGGACATCTCCACCCCATGGAGCTTATGGGAGGGGGAGAAACCAGTGTCCCAGCAGGTATGGACTATTTTATTCCAGTTCTTCCCAGTTGACTCCATACTTCACTCAAAATTTGAATCAGGTTGCACAAAGTCAGTTAATGTGCAACGCATCACAAGTCAACAGGATCACTCGATACAGTTAACCAGGTTGTGCATTGTACAGGGCACCTCTTCTAACTGGGAGGGGTCATTCTCTTTTAAAGACATACTGGATTTTAATATTTATTTCAATTTTCCAACAAATAGAACTAAAATTGCTTGGGGAAGGGATGGCTATCTGATTCCCCCCTAAGCCACAGTGTGGGCCAGCGTTGATAGTGGGATGGGCATGAGACTCCCTTGCTCTGTGTTCTGGACTTAGGCCCAGTTGGGGAGTTTCTGACATCTGAAAATAGGTGTGATGAGTTTTCCTCATGTCCTTCCAACCCCACAGGTGCTGTCCCCACTGTCTGACTCCATCCTGGCAGAGAAAACGGTCACCGTGCTGGAGGACAAAGTGTCGGTGCTGGACTTGGCCATCCAGCTCGTGGCCGGGCTGTCTGTGTCCCTCCACCCCAACGCCGAGCACAGCAAGGCCATCACAGCTGTGGCCACCGCCGAGGAGCTGCTACGCACCCCCAAACAGGTAGGACCTGGCGGAGGGCAGGCCACACGCCTGAGGGGGGAGTGTTCAACTGCAGCAGGTCAGCGCAGAGGTCAAGTCCTGAGCACTGAAGCACTCGACTCCCCGCCAGCCTGTGGAACCTGGCCAGGCGCGAGTCCATCTGCAGCCCTCCCAGGGGGGACCGGCCATGCTCTTCGTCCACCCTCCCGTCTGCTGGGGGCACAGTGAGCCTCTGAAACTGTGGGTCCGATCACGTCCTTCTAGGGCTAAAACTGAGGCAGGCGACTTCCCACTGACCTAAAGAGGCCGTGTTCCCTCGCAGCCCACAGGCCCCCACGCAGGGCCTCTGATGGCACCTGCCCTCCCGGCCTCCCTGCTGTGTGTCACACGCCCTCCTCTTGAGCTTCCCAGAGCCTCCCTGCTGTTCCTCTGGCCTGGGACACGCAGCCCTGGCCTTCCCCAGAGCATCTCTCTGCCCGATGCTTAGGCCCAGCTGCGATCCCAGAGCTCGAGGTGCCTCTGCCACCAGCCCTGCTCTGCCCCCGCCACCCCGCTGTTAACTCTCTTTCCCAATCTGTCACCAAGTAGGGAGCATAACTGTGAAAGAGAAGGAATGACCGTGAGGGCACCTGACCCCTCAGGGCAGAGCTGGACATCAGCTCTCCCCACCCATCTCTTCACACCCTGCCCCAGGGGCACCCAGGCTCCACCTTAGCTGATGGAGGCCTGGTCCCCATGTGTCTGCCCCAGGGAGTCCCCACCTGGGAGGCACAGTCTCTGCAGCCAAGTGCATCCAGCCTTGCCTGGGCTGTTAGCTGTGTCCACTTGTCCAGGGAGGAGGTGGATGGGATGCTTCTGCTTACTGAGCCTCTGCCAGGTGCATTTGGACTGGAGGTGGGGGCGTGACCTGCGGCCTGGTAATTCTCAAACTTTCTTGACTGTTTTCCCTTCTGGGAACTCTGTGTAGCTGCTTGGGCACTGATGGGAAGACAGCCAGTCTTTCCAGTCCACTCAGCCCTCACTCTGGCCCGAGCTTCCTGTTTTCCTCGGTGATAATTCCACAAAAGCAACCTGCAGAGTGAAGCTGGCACAGCCAAGCGGCCACCAGAGAGCACTCAGCTGGCTCTCAGCACATCACTGCTGTGGACTGACCGTCTCCTGGGGGGGGGGGGGCTCAAGGGCAGAGCAGAAGGTGCCCCCAGCTCACAGGGCAGGTGCAGCGAGGAGGGGGCTCCTGTTCATTGCCCGGGGCTCTGACGGTTCTCCCACCCACCCCTCCTCGGCAGCCTTGTTATCACGAGCACCAGGCCACTAATAAAAGGGTCTGCCACAGGTAACAGGGCCCATCTGGTGACCAGTGGTGAAGACAGGAAACTCATATCTGTTGGCTTCTTCTCCTGGGAAGGGCCAGGCTGAGGGTCCTTGTTGAAGTTAAGGTGCTTTTATCTGTCCTTGGTGTAAAACTGTTTTCTTCCCCAGATTCGTCAGCCACGGGGTCTGGATTTGGGGTCCCTGTCTGGGGCATCATTCTCGTGGGTGGTTGGAGGAGAAGAGCCTCCCCAGGTGGTTCTCACTGCCTCTCTCCCCACAGGAAGCCATGGTCAGCACGTGGCTACAGTTCAGTGACGGCTCCGTGACACCCCTGGACATCTACGACACCCAGGACTTCTCGCTGGCTGCCACCTCCCTGGATGAGGCTGTGGTGTCTGTTGCCCCCGCCCGCTCTCCCAGGTGGCCCATGGTGGTGGCCGAAGGGGAAGGTCAGGGCCCGCTGGTCCGAGTGGACATGACCATCGCCGAGGCCTGTCAGAAATCCAAACGCAAGAGTGTCCTGGCCGTGGGCATCGGCAACATCAGGGTCAAATTTGGACAGAGTGACGCCGACACCAGCCCCACCGGGGACAAGGACGAGGATGACATCAAGAACCACACCAGTGACCGTCGGCAGAAGGGCCAGGACGAGCGTTTCCAGGAGCGTGAGGAAGGGGCCCTGCGGAGGGCCACCACGACGGCCAAGTCACTGCAGGACAACAGGGTGGGGAAGAGCAGCCGGCTGGACGGCGGCGCGCGGCCCGGGGAGGGGCAGCTGCAGAACATCCCCATCGACTTCACCAACTTCCCAGCCCACGTGGACCTGCCCAGGGCGGGGGCCGGGCTGGAGGAGAGCGACCTGGTGCCCACGCCCCGGGGCCTGAGCGACCTGGAGATCGGCATGTACGCCCTGCTGGGGGTCTTCTGCCTGGCCATCCTGGTCTTCCTCATCAACTGTGCCACCTTTGCCCTCAAGTACAGGCACAAGCAGGTGCCCCTGGAGGGCCAGGCCTCCATGACCCACTCCCACGACTGGGTGTGGCTGGGCAATGAGGCCGAGCTCCTGGAGAGTGTCGGGGACCCTGCCCCGCCCCAGGACGAGCACACCACCGTCATCGACCGCGGGCTGGGGGGCCACGAGGAGGGCGACCACCTGCTCCTCAACGGGGGCTCCCAGAAGCAGGTGCAGAGCCAGGTGCGCAGGCCCACGGACCCAGGGAGGCCAGGCAAGGCACAGAAGCAGGAGCCCCCACACTCGCCCACCTCCAAGCGGAAGAAGGTGAAGTTCGCCACCTTCACCACCATCCCCACCAACGGAGGCTGCCCCACTGTGAACTCCATCCTGGGTGGCCAGGAGGAGATCCAGTGGGTGTGCCAGGATGTGGAGGTGGGTGCCCCCAAGGAGCTCAGAAACTATCTGGAGAAATTCCAGGAGAAGGCCTAAGTCCTGTGGCCAAGGGCCTTCAGACCCTGGGGTCGGCGGACACGGGCCCCAGTGGGCAGAGGGCATCCTGAGAGGTTGAGTGGGGCTGGGCTGGGCTCCCCCCAGGCCCAGTGGGAAGGACATTTTTGTATCAAGGGTTTTTTAGCAGTTGATGACGGTGGATTTTGGAAAGTCGGTTCCCCTGTTCTGGGAGGCAAGGGACAGATGGGAGTGCTGAGGCCTGCCACGCCCCACGGGGATGTTGTCTTACAGACACCCACGAGCTACCAAAAATGATTTGTTAAAAAATGCAAAACGACAGATAAAAAGAGACAAATCATACTCTGTTTATATTTCTAATAAAGAAGCAGAATACAAAAGTAGGGTCTTCCAAGAGGAGGCCCTGCATCCGAGGTCCACTTGGCCAGGGAAGTGACCTTCTCCGTGCCGACGTGGCCTCCGGGCAGAACTGAGGATCTGGACAGTCCAACAGTGGCCTCCTCTTTCCTCTTGCACATTTCCTTTTTACGGCCTAGACTCACATTTGATTTATATTTAACGCTGATCTCTGAGGATCACGTGGTATATTTTTCCTAAATGAAATATAAATTATATTCTCTTCATCAGACAGCTTTTCGGCAACGATGTCCGTCCCTCCATTCCTCGCCCTGTGACTGTCGTGCTTTCTTGTATCCCTCCGGCTTTGCTGGGACTTTACAATTAGGAAAAGCTCTCTACGCCTTCAGTGACCCCACCACCACCATCACAGGGTCAAGGCCCGGGAGTGGGTCCCGTTCAGCAGGACGGAGCCCAGCCTGGACCACCCACCACACAGAGTGCCTGCCCGGTGGGGAGGTTGGGTCAAACCCCAGAGAGGCTGTACCCAGGCGGAATCGGTGTCAACTTTCGGGGTGGGTCTGTCGCAAGGCACAGCCAATGTTGAAAAATGACCCACGATGAGAAGTGTTTGGGGGGATTTAAGCTGCTTTTCTGACTTTGCCGGGCAGGGTACACCAGCATAAACTCGGAAAACGCGCCCTGTGTTTGATGTCCCTCAGCTGTGCTCTTGAGTAGCATCACCGTTAGCCTCACACCACAAAACACATTCATCCAAAGTAATAGGCACGTGGCTGAGAAGACCTGCATGGGGTGAAATGACCACCTTTGTGACTCTTTGTTCAGTAGCTGTGGAGGGGACAGAGCTTAATGCTCCCAGCAGGGAGACGCTCACAGAGATGCCAGGGATGGTTTCTGGTGTTTTTTTATCATTATTATTATTATTGTTACTAAAGTCAGTAGCTGGGAAAGGGTCCTGGAAGCCTCTGAGGCTTAGTTGGACCTTTGAAAAATATATTTGTAGCACATATTATAGACAGAAAGAAGCTATTTATTTATACCTGTGATGCCAGTTGTCATTAAAATGCTTCCGGTGGCTTGACTGCTCAGCGTCTCCTGGGGTGTTTCTTCTGTCACTCGGTTCTCGCTGGGGAATCCAGCTGCTGGGCCAGAGGGGATGGGTGCATTTACCTTTTCCCCTCTGCTTCCTGAAAGATCCAGGGTGCTCGCTAATCAAGGACCTGTGGTCCCCACACTCACTACCACCTCCATCCCACCCTATCCCCAGGGCTCTGTGAAGCAGGGCAGCAGGCCTAGTGCCACTTTCTGATTGGGTAGCACGGGGGAGACTCGTTAACACTTTCCAAGGTACAGCTGTGCTGCTGGTCCTGAGGCCTGCACTTTATCCCCCACCTCGACCCCGGACCTGGAAGTGGGAGGGAAGCCCCATCAGGCAGCCTGTGGGAGGCAGGGTTGGTCTCTCACTTTCCTTCCAAGCTGTGGTCGCTTGTTCAGGGTCTGGGCAGGATCGTCGTTGCTGCCCACTGGTTTGGGAGAACGAGACTTATTTTTCCATAACAATTTTATGGAGACGTAATTCCCATGCCATGAAACCCACCAGGGTGGTATCCAGCTCGGTGTTTCTAGCCTGTTCACAAAGCAGGGCATCTAGCACAGCCTCGGGTTTAGAACATGTCCATCACCCCAAGGAGAAGTCCTGTGCCCATCAGCTGTCACTTCCCCGGCCCCCATTCTCACCAGCCCTGAGCAGCAGCTGCAGTGTCTTCTGTGTGCACAGGATGTGCCTGGAGGAGCAGATGCTGCAGTCATTATGGGACTCTCCCGACAGCTGGCGTGAGGGGCTACTGTCCCCAGCAGCAGCGACTCTGTTTCCTTCTTGGAGAAGGAATCTTAAAACAAAAACGAGCTTGCTCAGGCAGGGCACTCAGCCCCAGACCTTAAAGCAAACTGGATCAGCCTCAAGGATTCGGTCTCCCTCCGCGCTCACACCCGCTGCGCCCACCCACCGAGCCCTCTCTCCTGCCTTTGTGAACGTGGATCTTCACTGGGTGACTGTGGACCACCCAGTCCACAGTCTGTGTACTCCCGAAGATGTGTGTCAGTGCCTTCTGCAAATAAGGCCACAGGTATCAGGGGTACGCACATCCCAGGAATGGCTCCGGCTTTCCCCAAGGACACCAGTCTGCAGCAGAAGACCCCACACACAGAGCCCACTTGTTTGGACAATCTTGCTCCCCGTGCAAGTCGTGAAATACAAGGGCCCTGTCTCTTCATTGTCACCTGACACACCACGTGCCTGGCCCTGCACCACATGCCAAGGTTGGAACAAGAAGCGAGACCACAAGGCACCGGGGTTGCTGTGCTGCTGGGTAGTGGTTGCACTCCCCTGCCCTCTCTTCCCACCTGTCTGTCCACAGTCGTTACCCCGGTACCCCACAGACCCTCTTTTGGCTTTTCAGAAATGTGAGAGTCTGAAAAAAGAAACAGCAATGGCTATAATCATTTAAAAAATAAATAAGCCCAGTTAATGAGCCGGGTCACCACTCTGTGCCAAGACCAGTTCAACACTCTCTAGTTATGGGCGTGTTACCCCCAAGGAGATGTGAACCCTGGTACAGGTCCTTCCCCAGGCCACGGCCTGGGTGGCAGAGCTGGGTCCAAGTCCCCGTGTGTCTCCCCATCTACATTCTTAACTATCATGTGACACAAGCTTTACGTGTCTTATCCTGTGACAAAAATGCAATTCGACTGACATAAAAGCAATTCGGTTTCGAGACACAAGATCTGGGTGATGAAGGAAGGCAGGAGAAAAGGAGGAGGAAAGTGGAACCTCCCAGACCCTCCCCGCAGACACAAACGATAACTCGTCCCACGAGCCTTTCAGGTTTGTAACATTGCAGGTCAGTTCACGTGTTCCTATTCATGTTTTGAAAACTCACCATGATAAGTGTGAATCGTGGACCACTGTCCAGTCTTTACAGTAGCCCATTCTAAGAAATATTTGAAAGGGATCAAACTCCCTCTGCCAGGCCCCTCAGGCATGTCCTTCTGCTTCTCTTGAGGTCAAGGGGTGTACTGATTGTTAAGCATCATGAACTGGGGGAGCTCTGCAGCCAGAGGTAGAAGACAACAGGTCCCCTCCTGGGAAGCGGCTGCTGCATGAGGCGCTCTGCAGTGAAGGCAGGGGGTGGGCACGGAGCCGCCGCCCGTGCAGCCCATATCTGCTGTCACCAGGCACCTGCTGGGGGGAGGCTCAAGGCACAGGGGTGAACGGGAGCACCAGCCCTGCATCGCCCAGCCCTGCGCGGCCAAGGAAGGCCATGTCTGCAGCTTGCTCCCCAAGACACAGAATGCTGAGGATGCCGTGAGCAGGTCACGTCAATAGGTGGCAGTACCAACCGTTGGTGGGACCTTCCTCAGCCAAATGCAGGGAGACTCCTGTGACGAGGAAGCCAAGTTCCCGTGCATCCCGAGTGGGGTGGAGCGTAGAGGAGAGTTATCACAAGCCCTCAGAAGGCAGCCATGGCCGCCACAATGGTCCCAGAGACCCTGGACTCGCACCAGGGGAATCCCATTTCTGCCACCAACTCTCCCTGAGGACATTGATGATTCACGCTGAAGGGCTCAGAGACTGATCCAGGAGCAGAAGCCCAGAGCTTGCAGCAGGGTCCCTGGGCTGGGTGGACAAAAGTGTGTCAGAACATGGTTCTCTCTGGAGCCTGTGGCGGCGTCTGGACAGTACATGGGCAGAGCAGTAACGAAGCACATGGGGGAGAAAGGGAGCCTGAAACCTGGCTGATCTCACGGCACTTAGGAGAGGGAAAATGGAGACTGAATTCCACAAAGAGGGACCCCCAGTTGGCACCCAGTGTTAAAGCTGAGACCCTGGACAGCGTGTTCCTCGAAGGGAGCCAGCTGGCCTGCAGCGGCCCTAGGGAAGCCGGGGGCAGGGCCAGGAGTTGAGGCAACTCATGATTGAGTCCCGGGTCTCCACAGGGGCCTCAGCCCTCAGGAGCAAGAGCTCACGTCTTGCCCCCACCTCAAATGTGGGAACCTCTTCCAGAGGATAAGGGCATCTCCTTCCCTCCTGCCTTCCACAGGAGGTTCTATTTGGAAAATTCTGTCCTGGGATCACATAGGAAGGGAGATTGTGGGGCTGGGTTTGGCTCAGTGGCAGAGCCCTCGCCTAGGACCCAGTGAGGCCCTGGGTTCCATCCCCAGCAAAACAAAGGGAGGTGCCGGGAGACGCAGCTTCTAATCTATGCTGCAGAGGATTCCTGAGAAAGAAGTGGTCATCAGGCTGCGGTGACCAAAGGCAACCAGGGCCACCTAAATTAAAAGACAAAGACAGGGAAACTGGATTCAAAAAACAAAAAAAAAAAAGTACTGATTACGCAAGCTCCCACTCCAAAACAAGGACAAAAAGAAGTTTGTAGGAAAAAAAAAAAGATGGCAAAATGTGTGATGTTGGTGTGGACTGAGGACAACGCAGCTCGACGTGCATCAGAAAAACATCAGAAGGAAGAAACATTGCTGGAGAGGAAGAGAGGCTCTCATCATAACAAAAGAGTAACTGGAAGACACAACGTCCCTAATTATGTAGGAAACTTAGAACAGAGATGCAAAACACACACCAAGAAGAATGAGCCAAGAAGACTGAAAGCTGCAGGACACTGTGGAAAGGGAGGAAGGACCAGCTAAGGGAGGACACATCCACGTTTCCATGTTCACCGAGGGCTGCAAGGTCATGACCATGTGCTGCTTTGAGCTGTGGGTTGGGGATTAGCTAATAATGGTAGCAGCAGGAATCCAGCATGTGTCCTCAGGGCCCAGCCGCTCCAGGGCCCGGGATACTGACCACTGGGGCACTCAGCAGGCCGCAGGGCTGGAGCAATCCATTCTGCAGTCCTCGGGGACGGCCCACTGCCTGCATGCTCATCCTGAACTTCCTGGAGCAGCTGGGGAAGGGCCGGCCAGACTCCCAGGGCCTCCCTCAGTGGGCTCTCTCCCCTGGCAGGTGCAGGGCTCTCTGGACCTGCTGGGGCTGCACCCCGGATATCCCATGGAAGCCTCATGGTGGGTCACTGTCACGAGCCACCTGACAGCCCACCAGTTGGGTGGGTGACTTTGGTAGCCCAGGTAACCCCTACCTTTGTTTCCAGGGCACCACAGTTAACTACCATGAACTTGGTGGCTTCCAACGACAGGATTTCCTCTATCCCACAGCTCTGAAGGACAGAGGTCTGGACTTGACTCGAGGCACTGGCAGGGTCACAGTCCCCCAGAGACCGCAGAGAAAATCCTTCCTCTTCCGGCTGCTGGTATCCCCTGGCTTGTGGCTATGTGGCTCCCGTCTCTGTGGCTGCCTTCACGTGGCTTCCCTGGACCTCTGTGTCTCTCCTAGTCTGTCTCAGATAAGGAGCCCATCGTTGATGCAGGACCCACCCTCCTCCAGGACTGTCATCTCAAGATACCTTTGTTAAGTGTATCTGTGACAATTCTCACTCCAAATAAGGTCACACTCTGTAGTGCTGGGCACAGAGTCTTTGGGACTCACTAACAAAGTGATACTCAGGAGTCACTTTGGGCCACCAAAGCTCACTCTCACCAGGGCTGGGCACCTGCTAACAGCAGCTTCCTGTGAGGTGTCCACTTCATTGGCAATGAGGTCACCTCATGCTCCGGAGTGCTTGGATCAGCACTGGGATTCTAATTTTGGAGCTCAGCACAGACCACACAGGGCACTTCATCGGGCAGAGACACCTCCACCATCGTGGATGGGCCCTGCAGTTTGTGATAACCGTGGGACAAGGCTGTCACTCTGCACCCTGCACCTGAGGAGGAACTGTGTCCTGCACTGAGCCCTGACCAGTACATCCAGGAGCTGTCTCCAAGGCCAGAGGAGACTCTGAGGCTCCTGCAGGGGTGGGCATTGGGGTGGGGGGCTACACAGTGACTCTCCCTGCCCCCAAACGCCCCAGAGCCTGCGGCATTTACCAAATGCCAGGCCACATGGCTCTGCTCATCTCCTGCCCCCTGGAGCCTGGTCCTGGGGCCATCTGAGTATCCCCCACTCTTGCTTAGCGACTAGTTGACAAGATGCTATGCTCACACCTGGGCAGCCTGAGCCCTGGCGGAACCACCTGCAGTCTGGCTTCTGTGGTTGGAGAGCAGAAGAACTAACAGAACCCAGGGCAGGACTGCAAACTTATGTTCTCCCCCTTCACCTGGGCCCAGGGGAGAGCCCCCGGAGCTCTAAACACCACTGAAGGCTGGCCCCTTCCACCACCTGCCCCCCACAATCAGCACCTGAACCCATGATGCCACAGGCAGAAACCTGGGCGCTCCGTGGCCTTGGCGGAGGTCAGGAATCTCCCCTGCTCTGCGAAAAGGTTCAGTAAGCAGGTGGGGGAGGAGCTCACAGAAGGAATGGTAAAGGGACAGGGTGATGTCTGAGTCTCGGCTGCTCTGTACTCCCCATAAGAAATGTGGACCAAACCTCTGCACAGACCATGTGAAAGTTCCAGCCATGATGAACACTAAGGAGACCTGGAAGGTGACAGAAAATCTGTCAGGGCCTGGGGGAGGCAGGGAGGCCAGAGAAGGCCTCTCAGAAGCATGTGGCTTGGCTGGAGCTCTGGATGTGTCCAAGGTGTCCGTGTAGAGCATCAGGCCGACGGAGGCTCCGGCACCAAGAGCTGCGCAGCAGGGTGGGCGGGCGTATGGCCCAGGCCGTGTGCTGGAACAGGGGAGAAGCAGCACAGCACAGGTGGCTGGGAGTGGGGTCCAGGCACAGATGCAAGGCCCCCTGTGCCCTCTGCACAGCTGTGGGGACACAACTCTGTGACAGGCCCACTGCCTGTAGGACACATGGCTCTCCGGGGCATCTTTCCAAGCCAGTTTGTCATGGCCAACATATCCCACCCTTTGACCTAGGGTGCTGGGTGGCCTCTGCCTCCTCTCAGAACTCCTGAGCAAGTGAATATGGGTGGGTTCCCATGGCTTGCTCCCCGAGCAGTAAGCACAAGGTGACTGAGCCTCCTGCCCAGGTCAGGGCTGGGTCCTGCCTGGAGGAGGAGTCGCACCCTGGAGAGTGTGTGTCAGGAGGAGATGCTGAAGAGGACCCAGGGGACATGACAGGCAGCTCGTCCTGCTGCTTCTCTTTCTGGAGAGCAAGGCAGATTGTCACCCTGTTTCAATTTATCCCCAACCAACCAAGACATTCTGTCCAAACCCCCACCCCCCAATCAAAGAAGTTGCTTCAGTGGAAATCCCATTGATCTGAGAAGTCCAGGTTAAGTCAGGGGTCAAGATTTCCACTTCCTCTGACTTGGCTGCCCTCTGAATGAGGCTGGAGAGGAAGACCTGCCACCTGGATTTGTGGGGACACTCTGGAGGGGGCTGCAGCGGGCAGAGTTTCCTGCATCAAGGGTGATGTGTGAAGAAGACAGACCAGGGACGGGGCAGACAAAGGACTGAGGCAGTCATCCATCACCCAGCGTC